CGTCCATATCACCTCGAGCCCTGAGAACAGCCCTGCGAAGACGATCGGCCAACGCAATGGAACGCGCAAGGCAGCACCCAACTTGCATGGCAATAGCGGTCCCAAGCGACTGGTGGTGAAGAATTTCAAGCCGGTTAGAAAGGTGGACCCCCGTGCTTTTCTGGACCAGACATGGCAGAAGGTCGAAAAGGCCCTGGACACCATCTTTGAGCAAGGCAACATTGAGTTTAGTCTGGAGGAGCTGTACCGCGGCGTAGAAAATGTCTGTCGACAGGACATGGCCAGGGACATCAAAGAACGTCTAACCACAAAGTGCCGGGATTACGTGCGAGACAGTTTAGAGGCAAAGGTAAAAGAGAGTCTGGGTAAGACTAGTGTTGATGTACTGCGGACGACGCTACATGCTTGGGCACTATGGAACAGTCAGATGGTAAGCCGGGCACACAAGAATCCATGCCACCAAACTGACACACTGCAGAAATACCTAGATTGGATCTTCTGCTACCTCGACCGAGCCTACCTCCTCCCACGTCACGAATCCCTCCGTGAAATCTGCATTAGCCTTTTCCGCTCAATTATCTTTGAAAATGACAAACTGAACCCTCGCATCGTCGATGGTGCCTGCGATCTGGTAGCAACTGATCGGACAGGCGGCGATCTGGACAGCGAGATGTTCTCCAAGACAGTCAACATGTTCCATGACATGCAAGTCTACACACGGCACTTTGAGCCGCGCTTGATGGAAGTCAGTCAGGAATACATAGTGAAGTGGGCAGATACGGAGAGTGCTGAGAAATCCCTGCCCGAGTATGTGCGCAATTCAAGGGCGCTCATGGATCGTGAAATGAAGAGAGTAGAGATGTTTAGCCTTCCAAACACGACCAAGCGAGAACTTCTGACGCTGCTGGAAGACCATCTAATCGCGAAGAAGGAATCAAGATTGACAAATCAGGACGAGCTTGCTGACCTCCTGGAAACCAATGCTGTCCAAGATCTCGAGATGCTATACACACTTCTCGAACGCCGAAAAATGGGCGCACGTCTACGACCGGGTTTTACAAAGTGGATAGAAGACGAGGGCACAGCTATCGTCTTCAATGAAAAGGAACAAGAGAACATGGTCGTACAACTGCTGTCATTGAAGCGTCAGTTAGATGCCATTTGGAAAACCTCGTTCCATCGAGACGAAGAGTTGGGTCACGGGCTGCGCGAGGCTTTTGACAAGTTCATGAACAAGACAAAGAAGACGAACGCAAGCTGGGGCACAGACAACTCCAAGACGGGCGAGATGATTGCCAAGTACGTCGACATGTTGTTGAGAGGAGGTGCCAAGGCAATACCGACACAGCTGAGCCGGAAGTCAGAGAAGCCTGTCGAAGTTGAGGCTGAGGACGACAAGGAAGACGATGTGTTTGATGAAGACACTGAAGTCAACAACCAACTCGACCAGGTTCTCGATTTGTTCCGCTTCTTACATGGCAAGGCTGTTTTTGAAGCATTTTACAAGAAAGATCTAGCACGACGATTGTTGATGGGCAGAAGCGCTAGTGCGGATGCTGAGAGAAGCATGTTATCAAGACTCAAGATTGGTGAGTCTTCCTCGATAGCAACTTTCCTTTGGCCCGCATACTAACTCACTATAGAATGTGGTGCTGGTTTCACTGCCAATCTTGAACAAATGTTCCGAGACATTGAACTGTCCCGCGAAGAAATGAGCTCATACAAGAATATCAGCGAGGAACGCAACGAAAAACTCGATCTCGATCTAAACGTCAACATCCTTTCTGCGTCCGCTTGGCCTACTTACCCCACTGTTCCCGTCATCCTACCACCTGAGGTCCAATCTGCTATGAACAAATTCGAAGCGCACTACAAGATCAAACACACTGGCCGCAAGCTTGAGTTCAAGCACGCACTGGCGCATTGTCAAATCAAGGCCAGATTCCCCAAAGGCCTCAAGGAATTGGTAGTGTCGTCATTCCAGGCCATTGTACTCTTGCTGTTCAACGGCCGACGGGAAGACGAGCACATTGATTACGAATATCTCAAGCAAGCCACTGGGCTACGTGAGTCATACAGCAAGATATCTTAATAACACGACTAACGATTAACAGCCCCTGCCGAGCTTAATCGTACATTACAATCTCTCGCTTGTGCCAAAGTGCGGCCTTTGACGAAGCATCCAAAGGGCCGCGAGATTAGCGAGACTGATACGTTCACTATCAACGCTTCTTTCACAGATCCCAAGTACCGCATCAAAGTCAACACTGTTCAGCTCAAGGAAACGGCGGCTGAAAACAAGGAAACACACGAACGTGTTGCTGCGGACCGAAACTATGAGACGCAAGCCGCCATTGTGCGCATCTTGAAGGCAAGAAAGAGGATCAGTCACGCCGAGCTAGTCAGTGAAACTATCAAGGCTACTAAAAACAGAGGTACTCTAGAGGTTAGTGGTATCAAGAGGAACATTGACCGGTTGATCGAGAAGGAGTTCTTAGAGAGAGAGGACGATGGATTGTATGCCTACATTGCATAGACTACTTGTAGTATCAGCCAGTACACGAGGAATCTGAAAGTTTGGGATTCTCTCAGAGCCTTTGTACGATTACGAGTTATTTTACGCATACCGAGTTTAGAGTAATCTTTGTTGAACATGAAATTCAACTTTCCTGATGATTGGGTTGTTTTAGGTCAAGCGCGGATATCGGCGTCTACTCTTCGTAATCTTTCTTTATCGGTGTTTACGCCTCTATCAACCGGATGGTGAGCACTACTATTACACAAAGGGCAGTGCAGAACGTGACCGGAAAGATAGGGAAGACAGGAAGCGGGTTGGGCGCGGAAGGGTCATCTGCGAGGGTCAGGGCTAAAAGGGTCAAGGAATCCAAGAGTCGACATAATCTCTTCCAACACCACGCATGAACGACCATGGCCTAGGGAAGTGCAAATTTCTCAGCTGGACTGACCGCCAGTTGATCGGGGACAAATCGAAGAACATTTCGAACCTAGCTCGTTTCCGTTCAGTTATGATGTATCGGCCCTCGAGTCTTTGGGGCAAGTAGCTTTCTTTTTCTCCATGGCAGCCCATGGACACCACCCTCAAATGCAACAAACCTTCTAGGCGCCTTCTAGGTGCATTCCCAACACCGGTTGCCTCACGTCGGCGAGTAGAAGTAGATGCATCGGTAGCCCACCACTACCTTCTGGCGAGCGACAAAGTCAAAGCGGAGGTACTCTCGCGGTCACAACGCAGGAAAAGCAACTTAAGACCAAGGCGACTATCTGGTTACCAACGGCCTCTTCCGCGGAAACAAAGCTATCCAGCGGCCCGGTCGCCGTGCCTTCCTCGCCGGGTATGTGACTTCCACTCCGCAATGCAGGTCAATCTCTCAACCATCACCCTGTTTGATGCTTCAATTACACACCCGACACCATGCTTACACAGCGACCGATTCTCTGTCCGCCTTTTCTTTTTTTGGTCCGAAAACAGTCCAAAACAGCCGCCTTGAATTCACGCTTGTCATCTGGCACGAACAACTCAACAGTCCGAGCTCGTTGCGGCGGTCAGTCAGTTCACGCAACGGGGATGCAGCTGTCAGTTCAGTTTCAGTTCCATCCAAACCTAGTCGAAGCCACGTGCAAATCCCAGATACCTGGGTAGCTCAAGTCCTAGGAAGCAAGCCACTGCAGTAATAGCACTCTGTGAGAAACCAAGCTTATTTGCCTTCTCTCCTCCTTCTCTTCTACCCTTTCCGCGCGGCGCTACAAGTAAAAAACACAATCTGTTCCAGAGTTGTGACGATCTTCCTGGTTAGCGAGCGAGCGACACCCCTGATGATTGCCTTTTCTTCCATGCGCACCATCCGGTGTATGTCTATTCTAGGCACCTCAACACTCTATTCGCTACCATACAGGAAAGGCTGCTTTTCCAACCACATGTAACGACTTCCATGCGCGGGCGGCCGCAGCAAACCCTAGACATTGACCGCTTCATGAACCATTGCTAGCGGGGTAGCCCGCCACGTCCACATTCTAAGCGCATGCATTGCTGCTATTGGCCTGACCGTTTCGCCGATAGATGGCATGTTCGACGTTTGTAGAAGATTCTGGGGATATTCTATATCCAACAGTATCGAGAGCATGGCAGTGCAGGCACCCCAACGATACGGAAATTACGGGAAATGAAGCGCTCATTTCTGTTTCTCTATTCTCCTCAACACGAGAATCTGGGTTCTCTTGTTTTTCATTCCTTCTTCTTTGTCTCGATATCGCCGATTACGTATCCCTCTATAGACTTATTCGGCCACTACAGACGCCATGACCTACCGGTCTTCCAGGGTTGTTTTTACCACACACTCGAGAGACAGAATTTGATGCGTATCATAGCCCCTTGGACGTATTAGCGAGTTGAGAAGATCGGCCCAGGTCTCTATTTTCAGATTGGGATCTTGTGTTTCTCCTCCAGAGGGTCTGGTGTTTGATGTTACGTATGGCGGTGCCTATCAAGATTTTCCAACCGTAGTATAGAGAATTTTACACAAAGTGATATCCAACTGGATGGAAACCTCACTAGCTCAACCATGCCTTTTTTTTCAGATCACACCTACGGCGACAAATTCCATCTAGTTCAGCACAAGCGTTAGCTAACGTGTGCAGGTGTGTATGCACATGAGCATTTGCTAGACCCTATTGAGCCATGCACTCAACGATCAACGTACCTGCAGAAACAGAGCCCGGTGTGAACGGAGCTTCTAACGTGCAACAAAGCATGAGCAACACTGAAGTATCAATGCACGAGTTTCCGTAAAAGAAAAAAAGGGTTATGAGAGAAGTGAGTATATGAAGCCTCCTCGTCTTCTGATTCAAATTCCTCACCTACCATCGACAATCATTTCAACACTCATTTACAAACCACACACTCTCTTAATACAATACAACACAACTTTCTTATAATATAATAATCTTTCTTTTCTCTACTTAATCGACAGCCTCCGTTCAAGATGCGTTTCACAACCATCGTCACGGTCTCGTCCTTTGCCCTCGTGGGCAGCGCTGCCCCGGCCAAAGCCCCAGCCCCGTCCTCGTCGGCCAGTCTGTCCCTCCCTAGCGGCTTGCCCAAGCTGGACAGCCTGAACAAATCTGCTTCCCCATCTGGCGTCGTCAAGGTGCCTACTGCTTCTGCTGCGCCTTCTCTCGAGTTCTCGTCCGACAGGTCCGGCGGTCCACTAAGGATCCGCCAGGCGGACGACTTGTTCGACGGCATTCTCAACTACGGCAAGGGCGCCCTGAATAAGGATGACAAGAAGAAGGAGGACGACAAGAAAGAGAAGACAAAAGAGGATGACAAGAAGGAGGAGAAGCCCAAGGAAAACAACGAGGGTGACCATGACGACGACCACCACCACGGCAGGCCTCCCCATGGCGGTGAATCCGGCGAGGGTGATGAGTCTCAGGGAGGTCCAGGCGGCGAGTCTAACGCCGGTGGCGAGGGTCCTCAGGGCGGCAATGGTCCTCAAGGCGGCAATGGTCCTCAGGGTGGCAATGGCCCTCAGGGTGGCAATGGCCCTCAGGGCGGCAATGGCCCTCAGGGCGGCAGTGGTCCCCAGGGCGGCGAGACTCCTTCTGGAGGCGAGGCTACCCACGAGGCTGGAGAGGCCCCTCAAGAGGGAGGTGAGACCCAAGAGGGTGCTCAGACTCCCTCTGGCGGTAGCCAGACTCCTTCTAATGGCGAGGCCCCTCAACAGGGCGGTCAGCCCCAAGAGCAAGGTAAGAGTTCACTACATCCCCCAAGTCTGATATGAAGACTGACAAGAAATAGGTTACCAGTACAAGCGTCAAGCTCAGGAGTCTTCCAAGGGCCATGAGGGTAGCCACAAGGGTGATCACGGCTTCAAGTACAAGATCCTCGAAGACAAGCGTCAGGCCCAAGAATCCTCCGAGGGTGGTGAGCACAAGGGCAAGGGCGACCACCACGGCCACGGTTTTGACTACAAGATTTTCAACGACAAGCGCCAGGCCCAAGAATCCTCCGAGGGCGGTGAGCACAAGGGCAAGGGCGACGACCATGGCTTCAAGTACAAGATCCTCGGAGACAAGCGTCAGACCCACGAGTCTTCCAAGGGCGGCAAGCACGGCCACGGCTTTGACTACAAGATTTTCAACGACAAGCGCCAGTTTGAGGCTATCACCGACATTGTTAACCCCAAGAAGGAAGAGCCCAAGAAGGAGGAGCCCAAGAAGGAGGATGCCGCTCAAGACAACCAGCAAGAGAATGGCCATGAAGAAAACACCCATCAAGAGAAGCGCCAGAACATTGACCGACTGTAAGTGTGACCAATCTTCTTTTTCCCTCCTTTCCAATCTACTCTGTCTATTTTTTCTTTTGAGACAAGAATACTAACACGCCTGTGGGTTCTAGCACAGTCAACGTTTGCTCAGCGACAAGCGGCAACGCCAATTGCGAAAGGCTCTGCGGTCTTGCCCAGGCTGATGGTGTTTGCGAGAAGAGCAAGACTGGGTACGTTTCATCCCCCCCTTTTTCCTACCCTTTCTAAATACTTGCTAACACGCCTTGCAGCAAGTGGTCTTGTGAGTGCAAGGGTGGAATGAGCGAGCAGGCCAACGAGGAAGACGGCGGCAGCGGCGGCAACACCAGCAGCGGCGGCAGCGACGACGAGTAAATTAGCTTCGTTGGATTCTTGCTTCTATAATGTCTTGAATGAGGGGGTCTGTTCGAGCTGGATGGAGTTGGAGAAGGGGAGGTGATACTAGGGGGGGGGGGGGGAGATTATGATGGTGGTTTAGAGAAGAGGAGGAGAGAAAAAAAAGGGAACATTCATTTGGTGTAAACGTGCGGATTTAGACTTTTTCTTTTTCGGGATTAGACTTTTGTTTCGTAATGACTATATCATCTTTTTGTTTCAAAAAAAATCTTTTTTTTCCCTTTTGGACTTGCACATTGTGATGAGTGTGCAAATTCTATTTGGGGGATAAATCATGGTTGCTACACAAGCTTGGTTGAAGAGGAAGATGGGAATCTTTTTTTTTCTTTGCTTGTGATGAAACTGGGTACTTATCAAAGTTGTCGCGCGGTAATTATATCTACTGAGGGCTTTTCCTAGCTAAAGCTTTCAAGGTTAGTCTTTTGTTTGCTTCGACATCAAGGTTTAGTCCAATATGGGTCAGCTTTGAAATATGGGAAAACCAAACAAGCTTCCGTGTTGTGGTTGCTGAAATATGAGAAAAAGAGTCATGGGTTTACATCTAAAGGAAGAACAACAGTGATATCATCGAAGCCGTGACTTCGCGACGCTCACCAGCGTGCGAAAAAGCTATGAATGAAGCCGTAAAGAAGTCCACAGCACGTACAATATCCCCAAAGACTCCAAGACCACAAGAAGAGAGAGAGAGAGAGAGAGAAGAAATATATATCAATACATCTATCTACCACGCTTACACATACTCCCCCATAAAACGACCCCAAACTCCCAGCTTAACCCACCAAAAAAGATCCCAATATGTACTTGCCCAAAAAAAAGGGGGGGGGGTAAAAGGGAAGGGTATAATACTCTACTTTTTTTTCCTTTCTCGCCAACGCACCGAAAGCAAAGCAAAAGTAATGATAACGAAGAAGAAGAAGAAGAAGAAAGGAAAAAGCGCAAGCTAATGAGAAGAACAAGGTAAAAGAAGTCTAGAAGCCGTGTAGAACGAACAGAAAAAATCAAGAAAAGCATGAGGATGATTGTACTCATGCTCCAGAACCGACCGTAAAACGACCTTTCATGTATATGGTCGTAGAAAGCGCAAACCCCCCTCCCCCCTCCCGCAAAAAAAAAAAGAGAGAGACGCGCGAGCTGAAGTAAAAACCATAAGAGTTATTACAAAGTGCAAAAAAAGGCCATATCATCGTTGTTATCGCAAAAAAAAATCAGACAAAGACATGGGGGACCAATTCACGTGCCGTACATCCGCATGTGTGTGTGTGTGCACACATACACACGCATACAGTCGACGGACCCTCCCCCCCCTTTAATTGCCAATAGTCATAAGCGCCCCCACACAAACCAAGGATAGTCTCCAAAAACGCCCTTTTTTTAAACCAAAAAAATCTACTTTTCTTTCAGCCCACACGCTCCGAAACACGACCGCGTTCGATCTGCTCAACGCGATCTTTAGAGTCAGTGCGCTTCATGCGGGATCGGGCCAGGGCAGCGGCCGCTTCTTCGTGCTCGCGGGCCAAGCGACGCAGGGCGGCTTTGGCCTCCTCGAGCGGGATGCTATCGCTGCGTTTTGGGCTATTCTGGCGCGAAGGGCGTTGGCTGGGTGCGTTGGACGTGGGCGTCGAGGGTTGGTAGCGGATGCTATTTGCGCGGGTGCTGGCGACGCTGAGACCATTCTTTGTGCTGCTGGGACGACTAGGGCGGAACTCGGTGCTGACGGATTCTTGGCTGCGGTTGTCGGTGTCGCGGGCGGGCGAGTTTCTGCGGGAGCGGACGTAGTTTGGGTCATCGCGCTTGATCATGTGGCGGAACTGCTGGGTTTGAGCGTCGAGGACCCAGCGTTGGTAGCCGGCTGCGCCGTTGGCGTTGCCGGGGATGAAGGTGTCGTGTTCGTCCCAGCACTTGACCCATGCTACGTCGTCGACGCGGAAGAAACCGGCTCGGACTTCTTTGCCTTTGTCGTCTTTGATCATGACGGTCTTCTTCCGCTTGTAGAACTCTGGCTCCAGAAAGTAGCGACCGAGTGCATGGGAATACTTGAGTGGGATGGGCGTCTCCAAGGGAATATAGTCTTTCCCATCAGATCCCTTAATGGTTGATTTGCCATTGCCCCCTGGCTTGGATGCGTCCTTGAGAGTCGCGATCAAGAACCAGCCTCGACCGGGGATGCTCTCGTACTGGCCAGGGACTGGGCTGGTCCACTCTTCAACAACCCTGGACAGGTCGGCCTTGCTGGATTTGAACCATTTGTGTGGCAAAAAGGCCTTTTGAGTAGCAACAAAGAGGTTGGGCGCCATTCCAGTGGTGGTTGGCGAAACTGAACAAATGAGGGTCCCGCTTACTGCTGTAAAGTGGTCCTCCGGGGACAGTCGGCAGTAGTAGTGGGTCTTGAATCCGGGGTCGGCAAATGCTCGCGGGCAAAAAGGCCTCGTGGAGGAGAATTTATCTTTTTTTTTTTCGTGGAGCAGGTTGGCGTTGATTGTAAAATGGCCCGGCAGGAGAGTTCAGAAGTCGGGTGAGACGGAAGGGAAGCAGCGTGATGAGTGGTGTTGAAAAAAGGGTTACTGCGACCAGGAGATTTTTGGGATTTGTGTGACGAGCCGAAGACTGCCAATCACTGCGTGCGATGCACGACTGTGTCGCTATGAAGAGCGAGGCAAAGCCTTCGAGCTTGATTCACGTGGGCGTTAAAGGAGGATTCTCGAAACAAAGGCTCTGGGGTGACCAGATATTTGAAGGACGGGAACTAAAATAGTGTTGGCCTGGAAAATCTTTCCCAGGCTCGCGGAAGGAAATTGGGTTGCGCTTCGACCTACCGTGGGTACACCTAGCTGTGCGGGCCATGGACCGGGGAGCTAATGGCCAGAAAATCATATACGCATCCAAGCATGCTGTCCTGTGGTTACGTCGCGCCCCGATTGCAACCGGGAAGGCGGGGGGAAAAGCCAACGGGGAGTCCCTCGTCATGAGGGCGAGCACTGCCTCAATCAGGTCCTCTCAGTCAGACACGTTGTCTGGTTGCTTCCTTGATGAAACCATGGATGTGCTGATCGCGGTGGTTTGCATCTTCATGTCCGAATCCGCATGCGTGCCTACCTGACAACATGCCACATGCGTTCGAATGGAGGGTGGCCTTCGCGCCAATCAGGGCGCGTCGCCGCCAGGCGTGGATGCATCAGGCCAGCCTACGCGATTACCGTGTGGCAGCAATCTGGCAGGGCCCGGAGAGTGTGTGTGCGCGCAATTGTGCCAGGTGGCAGGGCAGGCACAGACAGATGGCTGCTTCATGGGCTTCATGGCGGTGTGGTGCGTGCTGGGTTGAGGTGTGCGGATGAGAAAGGAACAGAGTGGGTCGGCATGGCGCCGACTAGTAGAGCGCGGAATCGCGTGGCGCGTCCCCGTTAGCGAGCGCCGGCCAGGAGAGTCGAGGAAACAAGGAAACACGCGGCGCCTGTCTTTTTGACGTGACAAGCCTGCAATGTCATCCCCAGCATTTCACGTCAAACCTTCCGCAGTAGACAGCTGAGAGAATGTTGTTCTGACGTCCCTCCAATTTCCCTTGGCCTCATACTATACCGTCCGTTGTCCCCAGCTCTGGCAGCCCTACCAAACAGCCCAGACCCTATAAACAAGACCGAAGCAGCCCAGCGTCGCAAGCCAAAAGCTTGCTTCCCCCAGCCCATGAGGTTAAACTATCCTTTGCTTCTGGAAGCTGCTGCTTCCGGACCTGCGACGCCGCCAAGCCAGCTGCCCCAGGGGCATTGCGGCTCTGGCGTTGCCCACCCCTACACCTCACCCCCCAACGACGACTCGCATATGCCATGGCTTTGTTATCGCCAGAACTGCCTTATCAGCATGCAGGCAGGCATGTGCATCTCATCGACTCGGGGCGGTGAGGGTGGGTGAGCTGAACAGTCCATTTGCTGCAGTGGTGGCTGATGGTGGTGAATGTGGATACCAAAGCAAGTAGGTATGCCCCTTCAGCCTGCGCCTCGATAGCCTCATGCAGTGCAAGCAGCCTGTGAGAATAAATAGACATGGTCGTTTTGATAAGGAATGTATAATTAACACCATACTGTATCGCACCGACGCGTCTTATGCGCCTCGTGTTTTGGGCGCGGCCAAGAATATCTGACTTGCTTAGTGTTGATCAGCCGGAGTCCGACAAGTCTCTGGCTGGCTACAGTCAGCAACAATCATGCAGGGTAATCACAACGCACGCGACATGATCGGCGCCTCACCTTGAGCATGTGAAGGAATGCCATGTAGCCAGTATACACTCCAAGCTTGGCGTAGACCGTACTACATCTCTTCACTCCATTTCCCACAGCAACGCTCGTTCGATCCCGTCTTCTACGCGAGCGCCAAAGGGAATGCTCAAGGCATCGCTGAACTGCCGTCAGAATTCTGCCCACATGTCTCGCAAACAGCCTGTCTGACCCAAACCCACATCACGCGTCCTACATCACTGCGAAGGAAAAGAGTCGTCCTGGTGGTTTTGGCTCGTTTTTCATTGCATTCCTACGGCTTCTGTCCTTTCATGTCCTGGGTCATGCCGCGGTAGCATGTCGCAATGCTTTTTTTCAAGTGCATGCTTCTCCTCGTACCATATTAAAGGGTACTGTGAGCCAAAGAAGATGAAAAGCCTTCCCATTGAGATCGTAACTAATCAGAGAGACGCCTTGTATGCCCCGCCCTAAAGTAAATCCACACACATCTACGACTCGGTCTTGACGCGGGCCTTGCCGTTGGTGACCTTGACACCGAGTTGCTTCGCGCGGGCAATGATGTCGATGCGCTTTCGTGCTGATACGGCGTGGGCGATCCTACAGTTGGTTAGCGGGTCGCGTCGTGCATGGCGTGGTCGGGCCAACGTACTCTGCGGCGAAGGTGCTGTTGTGCATGAGGAGAAGGTCAACATCGGCGACTGAGGTCGTTAGCTGCTGTTCACAATTGCTGCGACAATCGATATGTAACCTACCGTTGTTGACAACAAAAGCCTTGTGGCCGCTGGGCATCATGTGGCGGGTCTTCTTGTTGGAGCCGTATCCGATCTGTAAATCCTTCCGTCAGCTCCTCTCCTCCAAATATTCCAACTTGATCCAAAACAAAAACATCGGCCATAGAAAAATTTCCTCCGCAAATCGGTTGATTGAGGCAGTCGTACCTTAGGCATAGCAGCTCGGCCCTTGAACCGCCTGCGGACGGCGTTGTCGATACCCTTGGGCTTGCGCCATGATGGGTCAACGCCTACCCATTGTCAGATCCTGTTCCATCATTTCCAATTCCCACATGTCTCTTACACTTGAAGCGGTCCGACTGGTGACGGTTGAAGCGCTTGGTGTCTGCAAATGGATACGTCAGTCGCGAAATTTCGAGGTCATCGAGGCAGGTGAAGGCGTACGCTTCTTGACGATCGGGACGTGCTTCTTAGCGGCGACCATCTACAAGGAGTCAGTACAGTCGCAGCAATCTATTGTCGTGAGATACGCACTTTGACTGCTGTGTGGTTAGTTTGTCGTGAGGAACTGGACGTTGTCGTGGTGCTGTGAAAATCAAGCCCGGCACTGTTGGCTCTGCTAAGACGCTAAGCAAACTTAAGCGAGCTGCATCAGCCACACCCAAGTGGCGCAACACCTTGTGCGTCGAGTCCGTCTGGCAAGCCTCGTCAAAAAAAAAAATGCATGCACTGCTGGTTCAATGTCTCGCTATAGAATAAACACGATGATTGTCTTCGCCAGCTACGTTTCTCTGTATCTAGTACTTGCTACTGACCAGGCTTTATGGATGTATGCGTGCGGTGCTGAAGATGGATGCTCCATCCTCTCTGGACCCACACCTGCAAAACCCTGGCCAATCTCACGACAGCCAAGATGTGGCTCAATCATTCACGCGTTATGCCATGCTCACCTCCACGTACCCATTGAGAATATGTCTGTGAAATACTCATATCGAGCAAATCTATCTAATAAAGGAGATTCTGCTGCCCCTAAAGTGCTACAAAGATGGACCAAGGGTATGTTATGCTACATTGAATGTCGTAGTCATGTTTGAATAAGACCGCCTTGGGATATGCAAGCTGCACTCACCCATCGTAGCAAGCCGTGTCATATCGTCTACCACAACTCCCCGCTGCTCGGACCAGGAGGAGTTCAAATCGAAGGACCGACGTGAACAACGTGAGAGAGGCTTCAGTACTCCTCATCCATTACCTCCTCCTTTGTATCCCCTCGTTTCTCCTTCTTGACCCATTCGACAAACTCGTCAATGACAGAGGGCCAAGAAGACTCCTCACTCCAGAAGCCCATTGACTCGTCTTCAAGGGTGAGCTGTGCAAACTTGAGTGTCTCATTCCACATATCCTTGTTGACGCTCTTTTTCCATTGAGAGTTGACAAACTCAGTCCACCAGCTTAGCCACGGTGTCTTCTCGGTCGACCACTTCACTGCTGACAATGGCGATCCAAATAGAAGTTCCCAGAACACGACTGCGCTGTCGAGGGCGACGGCTTTCTGGCCCTGTGCCCTGGCAAGAGGAAATGTGAACTTGTACACTCGAGTGAAGAGCTCTTTGTTCTTGGGAAGCTCCTCCTTTACACTCTGGATGTACATTCTCTGTTTATCAACAGTGTCGCAGCTATATTCCAGTTAGAATCCGAATAACCTCTGTCGAACATATTTCCGCCATGTGACTTACTTGCGCTCTGTCCAACCCTTCACGAAACCTTCACGACTCATCTCACCCATTGTAGGCGCCTGGATGATTTCAAAAGTAGCTAGCGCGTCTAGATCTTCAGCGTTGACACCAATGTCCGCGAAGAATTTCATGGTGCCCTCGACTCCAACAACATCTTTGTCCTGGGCATCGTCCTCTCGATACTTGTCAAATAGCGCGTTGAGAGCAGACTTGGCCGCAGGAGAAGCCTGGGGAGCGCTTCCACCACTGTAGTACCTGTTTTATGATGTTAGTGTCTATGAAAATGGAAAAAAAGTCGTGACATTAAAAATTGTACACGGAGCTGATTAGTGATGCGTGGGAATGAACTGCACGAACTCTTCCGCAGCAGATAGGAGGAGCGACAGCACCACAGGAGGATTGTTGTTGTCATTTGTCGCAGTCATAGTTTCTCGCTTCCAATGGTAGGAAATGCTCTCCTTGATGGTGTTCACGAATGAAACCCTCAGTTTCTTGTCCAGAGAGTGAAGAAATGCCACACGTGCGCACGGTGCCCATGGGAAGTTACCAAATAGCTTGCCAAAGCGACATGTTTGTGCAGTGCTCAACAGACGGAGAAACACTTCGTACCGACGGCCCGCAGGAATGGGCTCGTTCCACGCCCGCTGTGGAAGCGACCTGCTTTTATTGGCAAGATCCAACCGATGGTAACTGCTGACTTCCCATTCCCAGATAGATGCATAGATGCCAAAGTCCTGACGATTTTGGACTTTCAGAGTATGCATTTGAAGTGAATATTCTGCTTCTTGGTCATGGAGGTCCTGCGTTCCCCCAGAACCACCCCGCAACGACACGACGGATCGTGGACGCAGGTGAAGTTCGGATGTAGAAGTCCTGAGAAAGGGAGCTTCGGAAGAGTCAAACACTTTCATCAAGTCAAGGACTGGCGAGCTCGGAAAATAAGTAGCCTGGCAGGGAGCCGTAATGTTACGCATGTTGGAGGACGTGACTGCCGGAATACCCAGACTCCCGTATTCGATGCGGTGAGATGATGGAAACAGATCGTGTGAAGCAGTAGCAGATTTTGGAAGGCTAAGCGTATTGTACAGCACCTGACTGAGGTGTTCAGCTTGAAGCCGGTGCTGTTCCAGCTGGAGATTGCGTGACCTAGTGGGCAGTGTGGAGACAGAGTGTGAAATGGAGCGTCTGTGGTCTTGTTCGGTCTCCTTTTTCCTGGAATCTGAAACAATGACGCAAGAGCGGGTAGTTTCTTGGAAAGGTTGTTCTTCCTCCACAGGTGGCAGCTCTGCATTGGGATCTAGAGGTGTTGGCGAACTGCATAGCTCAGAGATATCGTGTGCAGAGGATGCGGAGCGTGAACTCGAGCATGAGTCACTCGAGCTGATACGCTGTCGTCGGTTGCGCCCTGCAAGCTGTCTGGCCCTGTCCTGCGAGGAACCAAACATGGTGGATTGAGGCGATTGCTGGAACTACGACAGCTCAATACAATGATGGCCGAAATGTCTCGCAACCTTGTATATGCCTTGTATGTGGTCGATTGTTCAGCTCGAACTCAAGTGGGAAAACACCTGCAGGATGGTTTGTTGTGGGCTGAGAACATGTGGAAGGAAGACATGGCGTTGTGCACCTGAACCGAGAGAAGCAGCAATGGTGCAAGTCTCATGAGAAGGGCTGTCCATGGTGCAGGAGCACTATTGTGTGCCATTCCTTCCAAGGGTTGCCGTTTGTGACTACTCCAGCTGTGCTTCTAGGAATGGCAATCTTGGTCGTATCTTGACACTTAGTGGTCCGCATTTGGTTCTCTGTGGCTTCTGATGTGAACAAAGGCTTATGTGCTCCGCGCATATGCGTGGGCCGCTGATGCAATCTTCCGCTGGGGGTTGTGCCATGTCCCTTTGGGTCTGTTGCCACTTTGAACCGACAAATGCAGGGTGGCCCGTTCTACATTTCGGCCGAAGCTGCATGTGTACTATGTTGTGCTCATGCGTATAGGCGGTTCACAACAACCCTGGACAGTGTAGTGGAAAAAGCAAAAGAGAGTTATACATACGCGTTTACGGCGCTTTGCGCATCCCACCCGTAGCTCTTCAGCGCCCTTATGGCTGAGTTCCGGTCGAGCTGGGTGAAGTTCATGAATTGCTGAATGGCAGCCTTTTGCTGGGAGCTGTATACTGTCGGCATTTTGGATTAGCGCGGGAGGTAAGACGGCTGGGAGGTGGTTGCAAGCTTGAGATGGGTATTGGTGGCCGGGTTGCTCGCAGTGGCAACAAGGGCGGGGCAGAGTCTGGTGCAGAGTCTAGGGATAGAGGAATAGAAAAAGGGAAGGACTGCGAGGTTCCAAGGCGTATAGAGTCCCAGTGGTGTGCCTCGAAATTACAGAACGGGGTTGTATGGTAGGGCTGGCGGGACTTTGACTTTGGGCAAGCTGGTGACGCAGCGAGTGTCCGACCCCGCCGACCGCCCACCATTGGCCCCTCAGGTCGCAAAGCCACATGCCATACCTCGGAACTAGGGCCGCAGCAACAGGGTTGCTCTGCGCCTCAACCTCTGCCCTCTGTCCTCACCACCGCCACCACCAGCTCTTTCTTGGGTGAAACCAGGCCATGGGAAAAGGCGTCTTTGGCTTACCTGGATCGTTGCCAGATGCAGTACTTTTGCCTTTCCTGACCGCCCTCGTCTTCTTCTCGCAATGACCCGTGGCTGCGGCATCATCTGTCGTCTTGCGCTTAGGTGCCATGAGTGGGGCCGGCGTGACCTTGGCCGTGGGCTGGGGATTGTCGATGATCAAGTAGTGAGGATGCAGAGAGTTGCGCTTTGGTCGGGCACAGGGAAGCTCGTGCGCCTGGTCGATATCTGTGCGCTTGAAGCAGAGCAGTTGACGGGCCCAGGCGCAAACAAGTACCATGGGGAGCAGGCCTGGTCAATACCGTAAATGGCAAGCGATACTCTTACTCTGACAAGTATGGCATTCGTGGTGAAGGTGGATGCGTGTTTCCCAATCACCAGGAGCCTCGCTGGCGGCCCTGTCCTAGTGACGTTGCTGAGTCCTACCAAATAGTCAAAATGAGCACGTCCAGCTAGACAGACTACTACTAGTGGCCGAGTCGCAAAAGTGACGCGGAATCATGTGCGTTGGAAATCCATGCAGAACATCATCATCATTCAATCCCTAACACCAACGTCACAACACCAGCACGCATCAACCACAGGCTCCCAGAAGCCCACGCATTTTCCAGCTTGACATGTTCGTACACGCAGCTTTCATCGCATACATTCACTCGGTGACCAGTAGTTGCAGGGCAGCAACAAATACCTAGATTCGTACAATATCCACCCGTGTTCGTTCCCAGAGCTTGTGTGCCATAGCCACCCCTTTCGCCCGGTCCGCATCGCTGACAGTAGCAGGCTGAACAATCACCCGTGCATACGTTCCAGCTGCACGCCGTTTGGACAATGTGCCAGGATTGACTATCAATACAGACTCGACCACCTATTCCTTTGTCAGCATGTTGCATTACCACACATCCACCAGGTATACATACTTTGACAGTGCCCTGGAGCACACTGGGTGTGATCAGTATGTCAGGCCGTACGTTGAGCATCTCACCCAGTTTGAGATAGCTGGTGTCTAGCATTGTACCAAGGGGGAGGAACGGACTAGGCGCTTGCTCTTCATCTACCTCTTCTCCTTCTTTCCTTTCACCATTAGCAGTGTTGTTCTTCATCACCTTTTCCTCAATTGGCGTAGGCATAAATTGCTGCTTCTCTCTCCCAGTAGGCGGAAATAGAGGCAAGAAACTCCGCTGCTCGATCATGTTGCGAGCACCCCGTTCATAAATGTTTGTTGCTCGCGCTTTGCCACCTGTAAGCTCTTCTCTTCGGAGCATGTCAAGGTTGTCAAGTGAAGACATGCCCACTGTCATCTCATTCATGCTGACAGTCATGGGGTTCGTGACGCACTGCACCATCTTCCCTGCTGCGCCGAAGCCAAGCTCCTTTTTGATAAACTTGTCCTGTGGGAAAGCAGCATGGTGGTGGTGTGCATCCCGTAGGCTGGGTACCAAGAGCACATTACACGTCGGTACGCGTTTGTGGAAGCTTTGGATGGCGCTCGAGATGTGGTGGCGGAATAGATCAGTCATAGTCGCCTGATCTGGATTTACGCCTGGTGGAGCATCGAAATCTCCCGACCGAATTTGAGGATGTTCTGCATCGAGAAAGGGACCAACCAAGATGATAGAGTCCGCATACGCTTCTGCAGCCTTATCTAGAAAAGCATGTAGAGGCGCAAAATCAAGGTTTTGCTCCGTTGTGTAGGGTCCAGACGCAATCATCAGAGTTAGAGGTCTGACATTGTCTGGGTCAGAGTCGGGTGTGTCAAGATATCGTGCGTTTATGGCATCAAGCTCGTCTGGCTTTGTAGCAGGTGGGTTCAAAAGTGGCAGTGAAAGGACCTCGGAGACCACGAAAGAGTCGCCGGATGCGTTCGTACCGCGCAGTGCGACAATTTGACCGGGAAAGAAGTTGTACGACTGTAGCCCCTCGACGTTGAGCGGTACGCGACGCCCCGAGCCATGCCGCCGCGAGCCTTCAAGCACAAGTGATGCTGTATTTAGCTTGCCTTCGCTCGTATCGCACGCTATCCTCCCAACAGCAATAATCTCGCTGGGCGATGCGTAGTTGGGATTGCCAAATGCGCTCTCGTCGAGACCTGCGAATTCTTTGAGGATATCACGGAACTCGTCGATCCTGTCGTCCAGTACTTCTGATGCTTCGGAAAGCTTCATTGCCATGGTCCGGTACGAGAACTTGGACATGTCTGTGTTGGCCTTGAGTTTGATGCGAGGTTCCTTGGGCTCTTCCGAAGGTGGCTCTGGGATAGCAATATCACCCTGCATGAACTGTTCTGTGATATCGTTTGCGTTGGTACGAGAGGCGAAGTCAAAGACACTGAACGAGGGTTAGAGGGTGCTTCTGCAGTACTGCTTGAATGCCTACGGTCCGCCCGAAGTCTCGGCCTTTGGTGTCATGAAGCCTCCCGGTGAGCTCATTTCATGTGCCTTGTTCGCTTTACCTCCCGGTGTTTGGAAGTTGGCTTTGCGCTTGACGGTGCTGCCATTAACCCCGCTGGGAGCACTTGGACGTGGTGTATTGGGAACAAGCCCTTCTAGCCTTTCCTACGGTCAGCATGTTCTGCTTTGTAACCTTGCCGTCGCTAAACATACATGTCATACATGTCCCCGCCCTTTGCTCTTGGTGTTGGCTGACCCCGCTTGACTTCGTTTCTTTGCTGTGCCTTGCCTCTGCTTTCTCGCTCCAATGCGTCCTGTATAGTCTTCTTAAAGTCTTGTGCCGTCTTGACATCCATTTTGTTTTCTTCTCCCCCCATTTTCATATTGTACGCCTGCCACTTGAAGTCCAACTCTTCGGGCGAGATGGAGTATAACCGGCACATGGACTGCAATTCGGCGAGAACATCGGCAGGGAATTCATCGTCCTTGGTATCGCAGTAGCGCTCAAAGCGCTCGGTGAGTTCTGTCGCTACGTCGTCCATTGTAATGCGGATTGTGGATGGTATGGGGTGCTGGATGCGAAAGCACTTTGCGCGTGGAAACGCGGAAGACGCGTAGTAGACGCGACGGATGTGAGCTAGGATGAACGTGGGCTAGCACCGGGGATCAGTATGCAAGGGTCCACTATGTTTCCCGAAAGTTTACCTCCGCTGACCCTATCCCCAACAACCCAACTGTAGTTTCCTTCTTCCCTTCTCTCCTTCTCTATTCACTAATAATCCTACAAACTCCTGTTCTCTCAATTTCTGTCCGAAATTTCTCAACATGTCAGCAATGGGCCCATTCCCAGAACCCGCCGAGGGCTGCAAGCCACCCGCTGCTCCCGCCTTGACCGCCGACCAGCAGACCAAATACGACCAGCTCCTTGCCGATGTTCGCACCTGGGACTCACTGCCAACAACTTTGGCAAAGGCCACCGAAACCTCTCCCGTCACTGACGATGAGCGCATGTGGCTCACCCGCGAATGTCTTCTCCGATATCTCCGTGCTGTAAAGTGGAATGTTCAACAAGCTGCAGAACGCCTACGCTCTACGGTGATATGGCGGCGTGAATACGGCACTGACACCTTTACTGCCGACTATATTTCTGAGGAAAATGCCACTGGCAAGCAAGTCTTGCTGGGATTCGACAAGGAGGGAAGGCCATGCCTCTACCTATTGCCCCAGAACCAGAACACCAAGGAATCCCCCAAACAGGTTGAGCACTTGGTATACATGCTAGAACGCACCATTGACATTCATCCGCCAGGCCAGGAGGGCCTAGCACTGTTGATTGACTTTAAGAACACCGGATCTGGAGGAATCCCTAGCCTGGCTACAGTAAAGCAAGTCCTTTATATTCTGCAGAACCACTACCCTGAGCGACTTGGCAGGGCGCTGCTCACCAATGGTAAGCGCTGTTTTGGCCAGATTTGACTCGTGTTTACTGACCTGTTCTAGTTCCCTGGTTTGTCACTACGTTCCTGAAGCTTATCCAACCCTTTATCGATCCCGTCACCAAATCGAAGATGAAGACGAACGAGCCTCTTCCAAGCCACGTCCCCGCTTCTCAGCTCATGAAGGTTTCTGGTGGAGATGTCGACTTTAAATACGAGCACTCTGTGTACTGGCCTGCTCTTGACAAGCTCGTCACTGAGAGGAGACAGCAAAGGAAAGAGCGGTGGGAAAAGGCTGGCAAGATTATTGGAGAGAGCGAAATCTATTTGTGGGGTGGAGACGAGCCGAGCCTCAACTCTGGAAAGGCCGAAGTGCCAGCAGCGACCGAAAAGGCAGAAGCAGCCAACTCAAAAGATACAGCAACGCCTGCCGTGGTTGGAGATGCCAACGGCACCGAGCTGGTTGAAGGTGTTGAGAAGCTCGCCATCGAGGGGGGCGTGCCGGTCAAGGCTGAAGCCTGAGCTTAGACTTTGCTTCTGAACATTTGCTTGTTACCTAATCGATAGACATGTATGAAACACGCACATGATAGACTACGTGAGTCCAGGTTCAATGGCCCTGATTATACACAGAGTTGGATGAGATATTCACGAAATCAATATTCTTTCTTCTATCTATTGATGTGTACATAATTGATGGCGATTGTAGGGATACAAAACCAGGCAATATTTGGGGGCCAAGATGCTCGTGTTACTAATCGCTTGACTTTTTCCCCTCTATTTGCTATATAGCATATCAGATCGATTATCTCAGAAAAGAATAGCAGGCCACACCC